AAAAAAAATATGTTCATGTTATGTATTCAGTTTATTTTAGTGTAATGGGTACATAATTTCTCAACAATAACTTCCAATCACTTATATTTAATAACCTACAATCTATATTATTCCAATAGAAAGGAGGGATGAAGTATTATTTATAATTACGAAAACAAAAAAAACTAAGGAATAAAAGTATCTGAATGCCTATGGGTTATACGTAATATGGCCAATAATTTTTATGATGATGCTATAACGTACAATATTGATAAATATAGTTTTAATAAAAAATAATCAAATTGTGTTTAAAACTATGAAGTTATATTACTTATATATTTATATTAATTAACGAGGTACCTAATGTATAAATACTATTTTTATTTTAGTCATAATGAAAAAATGGAATGTGATCTCGTCAAACAGCATAAACAAAACAAATCATCCAAAAAACAAAATTTCTCAAAACAAACTATACAAATTGTAAATAACATATGATAAATAAAATCATACTAATTAATGGAATTAATAAAAATATTTTTTTGATTTAGACTGATATAGCGCATGGAATAAAACGTAAAAATCCAACTGCAAATGAGAACAAATCATTCAAGCTTTCTAAAAGAAAATGTCCTTCAAATAGCAKTGGTCCGACTAATGTAACACAACCATTCAAGCCTCAAGACATTGCTGCTATACCTACTGTTGCTAGATCAACACAAATTTGGTCTTTTTGTCAAATTACACGAGATTCACAAACAATGTTAGTGTTTTTAGATAACACTAATTACCTATTATATTGAAATAATTAAAAATGTTTTAATCTTAAAACGTAGGACTGATTTACCACCAATACAGCCACAAGATTTACCAACCCCATACCAAAAACCAGTTTTACCAAGTCAAGCACTAATTGTACCATGTCAACCACTTGTCTACAATGTACTTCTAAGTAATAATGTGATGCCTGTACAAAATAAATGTAATTTTATGGACATCAAGTTTGAAAATAATCCAGGTACTTGCAATATACTAAAAAAATATATAAATGTTAGAATATCAGTTTATAATTATTAATTATGTATACAATCAATTTAATTTAAAGAGAGAATTATATACTTCGTATTGTTAGTCTCGATTAAGCTATTAAAATCTTGTATAATAATAATCACTCTTATTTGCTTTAAAGAAAACAAATTTGAAGTTTAAAATAACAAAACTTTTTTAAATAGTGTAGGTATGTAGGTAACTTATAAAATTAAAAAAATAATAGTTATATAATTTATAAATTTATATCTTATACAATTATGAATTAAGCTTAGCAGATGATTGATAATATTTTAAGCATAATATTGTTACAGAAACATTATCTACTAAGTTACAATCATTAAGTATGCCGAGTCACATAACTGAAAATCCTCAACTTTTACATATGGAACAACAGGTTTGAATTTAATTAATAATGAGTATTAGTCATGAGTTGTACTATTGTATTGGTAATTAAATGATGCACAAAACAGCTCTTAAATAATATTCCATAAAGCATACACTATAATTAGTAGCTACCTACACTCAGTGTTTGGAACGTTCACTAAAAAAAATTAATTCGTTCACATTCGCCTTCACCTTCAGCTCTTGACAAAAGGAACCCATTCGCGGTCACGAATATGTTTTTTTTAAACGAACACGTTCACGTGCTTTGAAAAAATGAACAGGTTCTTTAGGTTGTTCATTTAATTTTTCTTTTATAAATAGTTTATTAGTATTTAATATAAAAACCCATAAATTAAACCACAATTTAAACTTTAGAGTATATACAATAAACATTTTCTAAAGTATCTAAATTATATACATATATTTATAAAATAGTAAATCAATTGGCGTTTTAAAAGTTGTTCAAATTCATTAAAAATATAAATGTAGTTCACATTCACATTTTATTTGAAAAAAACAAGTGACTTTCTGGTATTGTTCACTAATGACGTTCTTTCTAAACACTGCCTACACTACAAGTATACAATATTATTGCTACAATTACATACAAGCCGTATTAGTAGGGAATGCGTAGGTATAACATGCATATGCAAATTACCTTCAGAATAATCCATTTTACTCTATTTTAGATTCTGAGCGAAGTTATAAATGTTTTGATTTTACAATACTGTGTGTGTGGTTTTTTTTAAGTACCTATCTAGTCAAAATAATGCTTTGGCTTTCTACTTAAAGAACTTTTCTAGAACCAAATTGAATCTTATTAGTGAATTTGAAAAGTCTCAACATTTTCAATAGTTTTCAAAAGAGTTGAGAAAAATAAAAACAAATTAAGGAAAAACGAAATTTTTACTCAAATGTTTATATAAGCATTTTTTATACACCAGAAAATGTTCAAAATAACTTGACTTTTTTGAGCTATTTATAGTTGCCAGAAAATTTTGATATTTTTTTAATTATTGACTTTAAAAGTTGTTTAATTTGGTCAAACATTTATTTATTTTTTTTAAGTGAACTTTATTAAAATACCTAATATCAGAACATTAGAATTAACTTTAAAAAAACATGGATCCCAAATTAATGTTCTTCCTACATTTATTTTATTTTTTATTTCTGGTACTTGACAGTTGAAAATATAGTTAGTTTTTACATAGTTCCATGAAAATTGTACTTCAATAGGTACCTATCTCATATATAGCATCACACAGTATGCCCACCCGTCATCACCTACATACCTATACCTTTCAATATACCACTGAATTTGTAACTTTATACTAATCATATTAAACATGACAATTAAAATTAAATTTTCAGTTACATATACAACAACTATACCAGAATATTGAAAATAAAAATGAAACATCAATTCAATCGGGAAACTGTGACCAGGTAATTCAGTTTTATAATAAGTGAATTAATTTTATTATTGCCTTATTAATATTGTAATGTGTTACTATTGAAAGTGGACTATATTATAAATTTGCTACTGTAAGAATTTTATAACTTTATTGTTGTCTATAAATTACAATTATAATAATTTGATTTAATATCCAACGTAAAATATCTCTCTAAATTAAATTTTTATATTTTCTGTAAAGCAAATAAGTTATAGATTTATATGTATTTTTWWAAAAAAAAGATTTTTCAAAACTATTAAATATTATTAATAAATTATATTCTTAACATTCAAGAATAACATTACTTTTTAACTTACAAAATGCTTAGATATGTTATTATTATTTTCTTTTTAATTATGTAGAATAATCGAAAGAAAACAAAAGCTTCACAAGTAAACCAAGAAGAAGTTATCACTAGTTCTGATTCCGATTTTAAAAAAAAATCTGGGAGTTTAAAATCAAGGTTAGTTCTATTTTTAAATACTATAATTTTAATAAGTATAATAAAATTATACTTTACCATATTAAGTTTTAATATTTTATTTTTAGTAGTGGATGGATGTATGAAGACAGCAGTTACTATTCATCAAGTTTGCGAGAGACCGACAGTAGTGAAAGAGAAGTATGTGAAAATTATTGTTTACTTAAATATATTAGTGCTACTATTCTATAATCAATGCTAGGTGTTTAAACAAAGAGAAGTATCATTGATAATTAGGTTCATTATTTATAAATTATAATAAAATATTGTGCTGATAGTTATACTTATAATCAGGGGCGGATTGGCGAATTTTTTCGGCCCGGGAAATAAGAATCAAACCGGCCCATTCATYGAAAATGTAACTCTCCCCCYCTCTCTTTCCCTAACCAAAAAAACACATGGTWTTACTTAAATTTCAAAATGAATTTAGTTTCACCCTTAAATCAATGAAATATATAATACTTATATTTAAGCTACCTATACCAGTAGTGCGTTAGTCAGATAAGTTTAACCTGTTCTAACTTGATCTTAAAGTTTGATCTTACTACACTTTTAAATATTAATTTTTTTTTTTTTTGATTTATTTAAAATTACAATGTGTCAACATATTACAGGTTATTACAAGGTATTATTTTTAAATATTTATAGAACATATCCTATTTTGTAACAATAGACTTTCAATTTAAACTTTCATTTAATGTTCTATCTTTTTATATAAATATTAAATACATTTTATTATTTTTCCAACTGTCCATAACATATTGCCTTGTCTTTACTTAATAATAACAATTGACAGTTTTCTCCACAATCATTAATTTTCATTTTTTTTATTAGATAATCATTCTTACATTTTTAAAGTAATTATATAATATTATGAATGAAATTTTATAGTTAAGTAAATGTACCTAAATGGCTTAATTTAATAACTGAGTTCTCTAAGAAGCAATTTACTCTTGTTTTTTAACTGTTCAATTACTTGGTCCGAATCTACATTACTCAAAATATCATTGTTTGAAGCCATTAGCATAAAAGCTTCTAATTTATCTTCATTCATAGTATTTTTTAATTACTTTTAAAATTGAAAAAGATCGTTTGCAAGCCACCTAGTTTAAAGCAAATAAAGTATAAATAAATAACATTTAAGCTAATAAAACAATAAAAATATTTAAGGCATTACCTGAGTTGAAGGAAGCGTGAGTAGATATTTATAAGCTAGTGTTAATTGTTGATATGCATAAACCAAGTCTTGAAAACATAGATAAAAACTGAGAAAAATATTCTATAAATAAGGAATTTGTTGTTTATCGTACACTCTTTCGGCCACTAATAGTACGAATGTACTAATAAAGTAATAAGTACCAAAATAAAATAATACTTTCATATTTAATTTTTCTTATTATATAAAAATATAATTTATTTTTGTAATTATATAGTAAATAAAATGGCCTTTATAAGAACCGGCCCATCGGGAAGATTCCCGATTTCCCGATGGGCCCATCCGCCCCTGCTTATAATCATTATTTCTTGCAATAGATTTTCTTATACTGGAAAACTGTAGAAATCTAATAAAGGAATCATTCACAGTAATTTTCAAAATAGAATTTCCAATCTTAGATGTTGATAATATATGTCAAAAATATTGATCCAGTATTCCAGTTGCGCAACTAGGTCTAAAATGTTGCAGGTGGGGAGCTGTAGCCCCCTGATATTATGTGAAAAGTAACCCGTGGGGGAACTTCCGCCCCACCATAAATTCACTTGAAAAACAAAAAAATTATACAAAAAAAGACAAATATTTATTTACTCAAGTAAATTATTTTATTTTTGTAAATTAATATTTTTAATCAATAATTCGTACCAATGTAACAACAAAAATTATTTTTTTTTTAAACGCATACAGCTAATACGATACTCACCAATCACCATATTCATAAGTAATATAAAATAATTCTAAACTTTAATAATAACTAAATTTTATTTTCCAAAGAATAATTACAATTCAATTATAAAAGATTTATTAATATTTTAGGAAACAATTGAATAATTTATTTTGGAGTGCTGGAAGGGCTTAGCACCCTTCCTATAGTTGCTGATGTTATATATTGATCATTTACTTTTAAGCTGTAACTTAAATATTAGCTGTATAAATAAATAGGTACTAAAACATCATTCTATAACATGTAGGTAGTAATAGGTAGATATAATATTTAGCAATTACCTGGTAGGCGTATTGAGTTACCTAGGTTTAATGTAATAGCTAACGACGTTTAAGGTTTAAGGTATGTAGCAATAAGCAATAATCAATAATCATTCATTTATAATTGAATAATTAACTATATTCTATATATTGTAATAACTTTTTTAATTTAAATAAATAGGATATTACTATTTACAAAAGAATTGGATAGTTCTAATTATTATAATTTAATAACAAATTATAATAATTTCAGGACTTTCCTTCGCTGAATGTATTTGAAAAAACAAACTATTCTCATCAGTTAATTAAAAAGGTAACAATAACACATGGGTACTTTAAATCAAACACATTGTATTAAACTCAATGATTAAATTTAAATTTTAGCAACCATTTTGGATKGAAGATATTGTTTCAACTCCAGATTTAGTCTATCGGTACCAAATGGACTATGGAGACTTAAACGAAGTGTTGCGTAAAGATATGAACACATTAAATACATTTACTCAGGTAAATAAAATACAATATTGTATAACTGAATAAATGTATGCAATTTTACTCATACATAGAATTCTCAACCCTCAATTTTCCATGAATACTGAAATTATTGTTATTGCAGCCTCTGTTAGTTAACGAACAGTTAAAACAGCTATGCGTGGAAATAGATGTAAATGGTTCTTCTAAGACATCTTACTTTGAAGACGGAACTTCATCAAGCAGTGATGGAGATGAATGTTATATTTCTATTGGAGTATGTATTTTTCAAACTAAATTCACAAATTTTGCTTATCGGGGTCATAAAAATTGGTGCAATTAAATTTATTTAGGACTCAGGCATGAATGTAATTAAATCACAAATTAATTTTGCAAATAAAAACTCTCTGTCTTGTGATAAATTCTAAGATCAATAAGGTTGTTGTGGAAGATAAGAAATCTATTAATACTATAAGATGAGTAATGGATTTCATAAGTTTAAAACCTTTGACAGTTGCCAAACAAATTTTTAGCTTTAATAAATCAGAAATCTAATAATATATGTTTTACAATTCATAAGTCCATAGATCAATAAAAATTGTTTTAATTTATTATATGAATTAATTTAATTCTAGAGAAATAAAAGAAGAAGAATTGATTTCTGCAGAATGGCAATGATTTATGAAGAGGATGCTTTAATACCACCACCAACAACTTCACCACATAATAAGTAAGATTTTATTGTAGAAAAACTTAATTATGATGACTGTGGATATTTAATTATAAATATTAATTTGTTCAAGGTTATCAAAAAGTGATCAGTCAACATCTTAAATTTGTCATTTTAAAAATAAAAATAACTTAACCAATTCAGCATCACTAAATGTATATACAATTGTATATGGTAGGTACACATTTTTTTGCTGTAAAATAATACAAATCTACCTAATTTAAAGTTACTAGACAACTAAGTACTATGTTAAAATTTATTTTAATTATTATTTAGTTTATAATAAGGTAATCTGTTCCTATTGATTTATAAATAAATAAACTGTAATTTTAATTTAATTCAACCAACTTATCTTACATGTTTAAAAATTGTATTAATAAAAGAAATATTAACATTCCACAAACCTAAGCCAAATGCTGCAAATACTGAAACACCGAATCTGATCTATAATATTCTCTTTACATTTTATTGTTATTCATCTTTTTATTTCACCTCCTAGCAAAAGTAATACACTCTCTTTTAGAAATTTCATGCCCAAAAGATCTGTCATGTCATAAACATTTCCAATGTCATTTTTCTGCACCAAATCCATTGTTCATGTTTGTGTATATTAATAGTTTATAAGCGAAAAAGTCCATTTTGATGTATTAACTTTTAAGCTAATTAGCATTACACAGAATAGTAAGTGCAGCAACAAATAATTTATAGATATTAGGGATATAATTTTTTATATTCTGTGGATAAAATACAGAGTGTTCCGCGAGGATTTACCCATTGTGATATCTCACGAAATAATGGAGATATCAAAATTCTGATTTTATAATAAGATTTACAGGGATAAGAACTACAATTATTTMATTTTTTAATTTATTTTAATGTTTTCGTAAAAAATTTTAAATATATTTTTAACCAATTATTTCCAAAAAAAATTAAAGATAGCCATTTTGTAGTTTATTTTTCTGAAAATATTAACGTTTCAAAATTTTATTTTCATTAATTTCCCAATTTTTAATATTTTTTCTAGTTTTGAAGGAATAAAATACGATTATAAGTATTAGGAACACGGAAAGTATTCGGCCGGCCGTATGGGAATGCGCACGGAATGGCTGGTAACATGTTTGATAACGTTACAGTGTTAAATAATTCGCAATTTTTCTCGAAATTAATGAAAATAAAATTTTAAAATGTCAATATTGTCAGAATAATAAACTCTACAAAATTGTTATGGTCAATTATTTTGGAAATAATTAAATAAAAAATATATTTTTTAACTTTTTTACCAAAACATTAAAATATGAAATAATTATAGTTCTTATCCCTGTGAGTCTTATTACAAAACCAGAGTTTTGATATCACTATTATTTCGGGAGATATCCCAATGGTTAAATCCTCACAGGACACTCTGTATTACCAATTTGTGTTAACATTTTCTTACGATACTAACCCCTATTGGTTAATATAGGTAAGTATAAATAATATCAACAATTAACTACATTTAAAAAAAATAGTATGAAGAATTAACTTAAAATAAAGATTTCACATTAAAATATAATATATAAAATATTTTTATTTTTTAGCTCAACATTTTAATGATATATAACTGTACATTTTGAATCATACACAATGTTATATGTCTTGTAAATAAAATTTAAGAACAATATGCTATTATACTTAATGTTTTTACATATAAAAATTACATTTTATATTGCTATAATAGTACTAAATATTGTAAAATGAATTCAAGAAATATGTTATATTTTTTTTACTGTTTTTTATTTTTATTATTTGTGAATATAATATTATGTAAATAATATGTAAGTCAGTAAAATGTTTGTATTAATAAACAAACAATAGTTATTCATTAGACACAATATGATAAAATATTTATATTAGTTTTAAATAATCATAATATATTTAATACCTTAATCGTTTGAAAATTCTAACATTCCCCAAATTTTTTTTTGAAAGTTATAAATTAATATTGTCTATTTAAATACCGCTTAATTGATACCATATTTTCAAGACATTTATAGATATTTACTAGCAACATTTAATTTTAAATTTACAGTTAACTATCTATTTGTATATATACAAATACTAATATATACATCCAGTTTTATGCTATAGCACTGTAATTTTAAATTAAATATTATAAACAATAAGATGTAACAAAAAGTCTTAAATATTACATAAAAAAAAACTTAATTCTATAATAAATTTCATAGGTTATAATCATAAATCAAATATAAAATACATGTATCATAAATTATTGAATGTTGTTATCGAGTTCCAACTAACATCAAGTGCCTTAGAACATTTAGGACACTTCTTGCTGCCCACATTTTTAAAATATGTAGTCAAGCAATGTCCATGAGCAAATTTTTCACATGACTGACATTTGATACCATACCCAACAATACTCATACAACCCATACATCTTTTATCCTGAAATTTTTCAATCAAATATCCTTCCAATTCGCTAATGGCCAGTGGTGACAAAAATAAATTTTTGTTGTCATCAGCAATCAAATATTTTGATGCAAAAAAGTTATCCAACTGAGTATCAGACATATTGTTAGAAAATGTCATTAGTTGGTCATACGTTATTGWTCCACCTAAATCAAAAATATGATTAACGATTCTGCCAAAGATTATTTTGCTTGGATCCGGTTTAGCATTGAAATCTTCGAGAAACGTAGCAATAAATACATAGACTATATTCCCATTTTGTTCACTAATCACTTTGTTGATTTTGAATTCAAGTGGAGAAATTTTAGTGTTTATTAGTTCAATGATGTCATCAATGTTTTTTTCGGGAAATAGAATTTTAACTACCTTTTTAGCATCAATTTCAGATACCATCCTTTCGTGCATGAAATACTGCAACAATTTTCTATGATTATCATTGTACGCCATTGTTGAGCAGAGTTATGAATGAAAAGTAAAATGTCTTCAACTGTTGTTGGATAAATTCAATCCAATTTGCTATTCTATAAAAACAACAACACTAATTAAAATACAGTGTACAATTGTTGAACTCAACAACAAATGTATACATTGGATTATAAGGATATACTGTGGAAAAAGAAACCTTTTTATTAATTATACTGTTCAGAATTACATACTACAAAAAAATTTAAATTTCTATATCATAACAAAGCGAAACTATTTTTTATACAAACCACGATTTAAGAAAAGTTAATAGTTATTAATTATTATTATTAAAGCATTACAAAGTAAAAAGGTAGAATATTCTTTTTTTTTTGTAATTTATTTATTTCCGACGTATAACATTCTAACAAATAAAATGATATGGTTTTAGTGTTTTACTCACCTAAATATTGCAGTTATAATTTCGTCTTAATATCAAGGGATTGACAGGAATTCAAAAAATAGTTATTTTAATTTGAAACAGGAATTTAGTAATCTTTGTATGAAAAATGAAATCTAGTGAACTAAAATTCTGAACTCGTTAGTCGTTACTTAAATATTGAAAATATCAAAACACAGGTAATATTTTGTAAAATTAAGATAACTATATAAACATAGAACAGTGATATAAATAAATAAAAAAAAAATATAAAATATAATTACATTTACCCATAGATATTATATATTATCTATGCATTTACCGAACTCCCGCGTAAAATCACTGATAACGTAATACCGACACGAACATGGTTAAAAACATAGATAATAAAGAATTCCTTTATTATCTATGGTTAAAAATGGAAACCTTAGATCATATCCATATCACTGAACAATATATTATTATCACACCAACATGCTTAATTGATAACATTCTCAAACAGCGATAAGAAGTTATTATTTGTTGTTTTACAAATTTACAATATTAGCACAGAATAGATATGGTAACACGTGAAATTTTTTTATAAGTTTTACAAAGGTATTATCATTTATCAAAACATACATTTGTCATTTATATATTCTCATTCCTTTATAGACTTATAGTTTTCAATAACACGGAATTTGAGTATAGATTTGTCGAATTGGCAATTGCACAATGGGTGGTAAGAAGAAAGGCGGAGGCAGTCATAATTTTGGTCGTGCGTTGATCAAAGACAGGTTTGGTCGCAGTAATAGGACACTGAATTCGGACTCATTTGTAAGTATAACATTCGCTATTATTCTGCTGTTAAATTATTTATTTTTATTATCTGCAAAATAGTCTTAACATAATATTGTGTTTGGTCCGTTTGAAATAATTTTATACATATTTTATAATAGCTTCACACATCCGATTTAGCTGACGGATATGACTGGGGAAGACTCAATTTGCAGTCTGTAACAGAACAGAGTTCTTTTGAAGAGTTTTTATCCACAGCAGAATTGGCTGGAACTGAATTTACAGTAAGTAACTGTTGTAATTAAATTATTTTATGTAATATTTATGTCTTCATGTTTATTCATACTGTAATAAAATTCATTACCTCTAATTTCTTAAGGCTGAAAAGTTAAATGTTGAATTTGTGCCTGAAAGTCGAATGGTTGGTACTTTGACTGATGAAGAACGGTCAAAAATTGAAAAGTCCCACAAGGAATTCAAACATTTCATTAAAATTCCCCGAAGGTAGTATGACCTAATGTATATTTTAAGCAAACATATTTAACACATTTTATTCTTTTGATTAATAGACCTGCGTGGGATAGCAACACTACAGCTGAAGATTTAGAATCAAAAGAAAGACAAAACTTCTTAGAATGGCGTCGTGCATTGGCAGAACTTCAAGAAGAACAGGGCTTGGTGTTGACTCCTTATGAAAAAAACTTGGGCTTTTGGAGGCAGCTGTGGAGAGTTGTTGAGAGGAGTGATGTATTAGTTCAAATTGTGGATGCTCGCAACCCATTATTATTCTATTGTGAAGACTTAGAGAAATATTCAAAAGAAGTGGATAAAAATAAAACTAATTTATTGTTATTGAACAAATCTGATTTGTTAACTGCTCAACAACGTAAATCATGGGCAAAATATTTTGACTCCATAGCTATTACAGTAGCTTTTTATTCTGCTAAACAAAGTGAAGAAACTATCAAAGAAGGAAATGAAGATGCTGATGACTCTGTTGGTAGACAACATTTTATTCAAATTGTTCTTTTTTATTCATTATTTATTTTATTTAGGTTAAAGAGGTAATAGAAGAAGAAGAAGAAGAAGTAGAAGAAGAGGAAGCAGATGATGAAGAATGGAACAGTTCAGATTATGAAACTGATGAAGAAGAAGAAGTAATTGGAGATGTGGATGGTAAAATATTTAATTTTATTTAAAACTATTTTACCAATATTATTATTATTTTTATTTTTCTGTTTAGATGAATGTCCTAAGTTTAAAAATTCTTCAAAGTTATTAACTAAAGAAGAATTAATCAGTCTCTTTAAAACAATTCATGGAAATAATAAACGTTTGAATGATGAATTGGTTACTATTGGTTTAGTAGGTTACCCAAATGTTGGTAAAAGTTCAACAATCAACACTCTTCTTGTTAATAAGAAAGTATCAGTGTCTTCTACTCCAGGAAAAACAAAACATTTTCAGGTATCATATTTCACAGTTCATTAAGTCAGCTTAATCTATCTAAATATATATTAAATGGATTTGGATTTCTGTCTGTTTGTCTTTTATGCGTTCCTAAACTAGYGGACGATTGCGATGAAATTTGGTACAGAGTATATATTAGACATATGGGCAGAAGATAAGCTAAATTAAAAAGTGATGCACCCAAATATCATTCAATCGAATATTTAAATTTTCAGAGTATTCTAGATAAAACAAATAAAATTACATAATGATAAACTGAATTAAACATTGTTATAAGATTATTACTTAGTATATTTTAATTGATATCTATCTAGATGTATAAAAGTATATTGCTAGCAAAATCACAGGAAACAAATTTAACACACAGGTTGAGACATACAATAGGTATAATTTTTAACGGGCTACAAAGTGCACTGGTTCAGCTAGTATATTATAAAATATCCATCAACTTAGAGATCTTGCCATAATTTATTCTTATCTTAGTAAAATTCAAGGAAAAATATTTATAAATACAGTAGTTTCGTTTATACGGACTAGATGTGACCAGACTCTATCTGGATTAAACGGAATGACATTTTTTTTTAACTTGCTAATAAATATTATTCTAAAAACACCTTTGTATTTATACAAATTCAAAGTCTTAATCATGGTTGTTCCCGAATATTTCGTAGAGGTACCTACATATATATATATATACTCTATTTGGAATGAGATCGTACCTCGGCGGCTGACTTCTGCGCATGGGCGTGGCTTCGTTCCGCAGTGCTAGTCTTACGTTTGATTAGGTGGGGGAAGTACCTGTTCGTTGTAGACGAAAACTGGTCGCCGCCGAGGTACGATCTCATTCCGAACAGAGTATATGTACCTAAAATTTATACGATCGATTTTGATTTAAATAATTTATGTGTATGTATATTATACATCATACATGAGTACTAAAGTATGGAATATAAATTGTCTGGATTAGTGAGATTACTGTRATTGAAATATTCTTGTTTTATTATTAATTTGTATTAATTTGAACAAGGGAGATCATAAAAGTATTTATTAATATTTTTTCAGACGCTATTTGTTGACAAGGAACTGATGTTATGTGATTGTCCTGGTTTAGTTATGCCTAGTTTTGTATTTACTAAAGCTGACCTTATTATAAACGGTATTCTTCCCATTGACCAGATGCGGGATCACAGGCCGCCTGTGAATATAATTTGTTCACAAATACCAAAACATATATTAGAGGATCAGTTTAGTATTATGGTAACAAAGCCATTGGAAGGCGAGGATCCAAACCGACCACCYACAGCTGATGAATTTCTCAATGCTTATGCATGTAATCTAATCTTCAACTAATTTTTGGCGTTTTATATTGCAGCATTTATGATTTATGTTAACCTATATAGGTAGTAGGGGATACATGACAGCAAATKGGCAACCAGATGGTTCTAGAGCAGCTCGTGTAATACTTAAGCATTATGTTAATGGTCGGCTACTGTTTTGTATTGCTCCGCCAGGAGTTGATCAAAAAAAATTTCATTCTTACCCTCCTCCTGAAGAAAATCGCGCAACAAAAACATTCACCCCATTTGAAAACATTCTTCTTAAGGTTCATTTTATTTTTTAATTTGGTTTAAAAATATAACATGTTATTTAACACACACAATCACTGTGTTTTTCAGCCAAATGTTGCATCTGGAACAGATTTAGACAATACGTTTTTTAAAAAAACAACCATGGGTGCACACAGTAAAGGAATGAAAAAGATGGATATAATGGGCAGTATTAATAAGTATGTAGTAAGCAATTTATTATGTTTTGTTTATCTAATAATATTTCTCATTCTATAGTCAAGCTCAACAAAGTACATCCAAACCATGGAAGAACCATAAAGAAAAAAGGAACAAACACGAGAAATTGAGACGTCAATTCAGACATCTTGATATATGAATTTTGTTATTATTTTTAAATTAAACATATTTTATTGGTGATAAGTTAGTTACATGTTAAAATACAAAGGCTTTACCGATATTATTTTTACATTGTAAAAATTTGTACAGTACCAAATGATTGCAAAAATATAAAAAATAATAAAAGTTTCAACAATTAAGTAACTTATTCAATACACCAATGTGTTGACACTAGATTTTCCTTTATCGACCTCATATTTTGGTCATACATTCAATGCTCTTAAGAATATGTATGTGGCTTGATGAGGCGCGGTCGTATGCTCAATCTGTGGAAACGTACTGAGCRTACGTACCGGCCGCAGTTGCTAGCTCCCGGATGGGTGACCACCCGGGATTTTTAGCAACATATCCTTGCCACACATACACAAACACATGTTACAACCCTACCCACTTAAAAAAAAACCTACTGACAAATATACAAAATAACCCCTACCGTACCACCCCACACCCAATGGCCTATGTTTCCGCGGGTTCCCCTTAAAAAAAAAGAAGACTTGAAGCATTTGCATACTTTTTTTGCTCAGTCACAAAAATAGCAGAGTATGTTATAAATACATTTCATGCTTTCACAAAGCTAGTTTTGATTTTTTATTGTGCATATAAATACATATTTTGGGGAATGTACATTTGTGTTAAAAACATTTTAAGTGCATTTTAGAGCTACAAGTCCTCTGTCCATTTCGTCGCAGAGGCTTCATAACGTACTCAGAAAATTAAGTTCCAGGCACGCKTTTTGCATATCGCGTCTACCATTGCAGCATTTAGTTGTGAGAAATCTAATTAAACGCCTGCATACATCACTGCAGTATGTTATACGAGTACCTAGTTATCAAAAGCAACTAACTAAATKACAGATTTAAATAAGTCAAATCTGCGATGCTAATAAATAATAATGAAGATTTCAACCGGCTATATACTATAATATCAACTTATAGGGAACCTTGTATTAAATTTTCAATCTTTTGGACTCAACGAATAAGATTTTATTGACATTTATAGAATACAAACTAAAAAAAAATGAAAATTGTATGGTGTATTCCACATGCTAATATAAACATTACGTGAAAATTTAATATACCTATCTATCATAATTTGTTTGAGAGTTTCACCAAAATCGAATATGTGTAAAAATTCTCCTTTTTCAATTTTTTTCCCACGGCGTTTTTTAAAATTATTGAACATTTTAAATAATGATCTCCCCAATACTAAAACTATACTCACTTACACACCTGAAAGGATTCTGAAGTTGAAAATCAAAGCATTATTTCGACAACTTATCGTGTTTACAGACAAAAGAAAATGATTCGAACAGAAATTTACTAAGGTTATGCATAAAATTTAAAACGGTCTCTCGAAACGAACAAAAAATTCACAAAACAACAATGTGGCTTCCGAAAAAATCATTCAACCCATGATGTCTTAGCTACACTCCACACAGATATAAMTGAATCAATAATTAAAAAACAACACCTTGYCCTAATTGCTCTCTACATAGAAAAGGCCTATGACATGGTATGGGTTCCTCACCTCAAAAATCTAAAAAATGAATGCAAGAAGAGAATGAAAGTCATCAATACGCTGTCCCACCATACATGGGGTTCGGAAAAAAACACTCTTATCACCATATACAAATTACTCATCGCATCCAAAATTGACTATGGTTCTTTAATTTACAATTCAGCCAACCACRACATCTTAMGCACAATTGACCCAGTTCACAATGAAGGAATAAGACTTTCAATAGGAGCTTTCCGCACTAGCCCAGTTTCTAGCATTCTTTGCATCGCAGGCGAACCACCTCTTCAGATCCGAAGAAACAAAGAAATCTTAAAATACGTGGCAAAAAAAAACCTTGAATAATGTGATATTGCATCACAGATATTCACCCCTTCTCCTAGTCTCAGAACACCAATGAAACACAAAAAAATCATTGATACATACACCATGCTGTGTAATAATTCAAACTGCATCATTAACACAGACACTTTCTTTGTTCTTTCCTTTTACGTCAACTCCCTACTGGCAATGGTCCCCTAAAATCAATACGCAGCTTCTCCATTTCAAAAAGGATAGTACCTCTCACACAACTATTATAGCAAACTTCAATGACATTTTACACACCGAAGTTCACGATTTTAATCATATCTACACCGATGCCTCTAAAACCTCTGACGGAGTAGGATTCGCTTACTCTACAAGCCACTTCTCAAAACGATTTAAGCTCCTCCCTGAAGCCAGCATATTCACAGCGGAAACCCAAGCTATCAAAGAAGCCATAATGTTCGGAGAGTCAACAGTATCAAATAAAATCTTAATAATCAGCGACTCTCTAAGCGCCCTTCTAGCCATCGAAGCACCGAACCCCTCAAATGAGATAATCTTTCAAATACACAACATCATCACATCGACCCATAAAGCAATCGAATTCATGTGGGTTCCCTCACATACAGGCATCCCTGGAAATGAAAAAAATGGATATACTAGCAAACGAGGCAATCACCTCATCCTCGTCCTCAACCATTACCACCCTTCCATACCAAGACGTYAAAAGATGTATAAATATACACACTTCCAATATGTGGCAAACATCCTGGGATAAAATACCAATCATCAATAAGCTATAATCATCACTAAATGGTACACTCAGCCCAACGCCACCAGACGATCCGAAATCATCAATAACAGAACAAGAATCGGTCATACCAATCTCACCCACATCCACATCATGAAACATGAAGAACAACCTCTCTGTAGCCAATGTAACGAACCGCTCTCAATCAAACATATAGTCCTAGACTGCCCGCTATATGTCAACGCAAGAAAAATCCTCAACCAACCTTCAACGATGGAGGAAGCTCTATTTGAACACAACACGCACTTGATCCATACCTTCTTCAAATCAAATCCATCGGCATTGACACAAAACTTTAATGTCAAGATAGAACTACACTGCTAAAAATACAATGTAAATATACAATATCACTGTAAAATCCACATATACCACAACTGTAATAAAATCTTAATTTAGAACTTAATTATTTACTTGTTTAATTTACTTATTAATGTAACCACAACCACAGGCTAATGACCTAGCTGTTGAAGCCTTTAATATCAATAAAAAAAAAAAACAATTTAAAACAATTTAGTGGCAAACGAAAATTAAATATCACAATAATGCATTATAATTGTGATTGAAATTAAAAATCCAACGTGCTTGGCACCCGCATACATGGGTGTTTAAAATCCAGTAGAAAAAAAATTAAACAAACGTTTCGGTGTTAATAACCGTTATTATTCGGGTTAATATTGCTTAATACGGATATTTAATAGTAGTTAAAGAAAAACATTATTTTTTTAGTTAGCTATATTTTTTAAGAAAATGTCCCAATATTGTAATTATAATTAAATAATATACTAAACAAATAATAACTATACAAAATCAAACTATAGCTATATAAAATGCGGTAAAACCTCGATAAGACGGAATCGCATGGGACCATGAAATGTTTCCGGGGTTTCCGTCTTGGTGAGGTTAAAAAAATTGAATTAAATTAAATTAAAGATTTCATATTTATATTAAACCACTTTTTACTTTGCCGTAATTTTTACGTATTTACTATTTAGTCAAAATTTGAACTTTAAATACTCATAAAAAAAATCGTGTCTAGATATGTATTTTTAATATTTTTCAACTACTATTGTTACAATGTGTTAGAAGCCTTGAAAAATAAATTTTTATCGATATTTATAGAAAAAAAAAACCAAAAAAGTTGAAAAATTAAAATGTCAGTAAATAGCTTAAAACAAATCTAAATATTTTGAAAATCATATAAAATGCCTATATAAACATTCAGAGAAAATTTCATGTATCTGCTGTCATTTGTTTTAGAGTTACACCAAAATAAGAAAATCCAATGTTGTAAAAATTTAAATTTCAAACGCTCATAAAAATTTAATTTGAATTTCTGTGGACATTTTTTTTGTGATAAAGATTGATAAACTTGTAAGGAATCTTGTATTAAATTTTCAAATCTTAAATTTAAAAGAAAAGTTTTTTATGAATTTCTAGTTTAAAATAATGTGCGAATTTTTGTGATTTTTACGTAATTTGTCAAAATTCAAACTTTGAATGTTTATAAAAAAAAATTGTAACTATGAATTTATTTTATTTTTCAATTGCTATTGTAACAATATGTTAGTGGCCTTGTATTAAATTTTCAAGCTTTTTTGCCCAACATTTTTATCGGTTTTTATCAATATTAATTTAAAAAAAAAAAACTAATAATGATCGAAAATTGCATATGCTTATAAATAGTTCAACTTAAGTTAACATTTTTTAAAAGTTGCATGGTGGATAGAATATACTTATATAAATATTCAGTGAAAATTGCATGTACCTATGGTTATTTGTTTTAAAGTTACATCAAAAACCAAAATCGATTTTGTCGAAAACTGATTGTGCGTAAAATTTTCCGTTTTCGCCTTAATTTTTAGTTTGTTTATCACGATTATTTAGAAAAAAATTTACTTTTTACCCCCACCAAAGTACCAACTAGATTAATTTGCTTATCGGACGAGGTACTGAAGTCAAAAATCGAATCACTTTTACTGCCCCAAAACGTGATGACAGAACAATAAAAAAAAAATAAAAAATCACACATCATGGTAAAATCAATACATTCATCGCTCCGCTCAGAATCTAAAATTATTTGGGTTTCAGAATGTTTTATTCTGGTTTTGATTAATTCGTGTATTTAGAAAATAAAATCATTCGGGTTATATTGGTTTCTGGTGTTTGATTTTTAAGGGCGTTACGAGTTCCAATTAATTCTAACACAACTGCGTGGAAGACCCTGCAAAAATCTGAAAAATCATGATATGCATTAGCGTCATAAATAGATATTCATTTATAAATATACACGGAAATGGAGATAATTTAATATATTATAGCGATYAATACTTCTTAAAATTAGAATTTGGTTTTCACAAGCATTGAAACATATTTGTTAATTGTAAGTATAATATCATAGTATTGTATATAAATGTAGTAGTCAATACTCATCTTAATAATTATTTCTTTCAACTTAAATATGCCTAACTAATTTTGTTTTTTAGTCGCAATTTTTTTTTATAAATATATACCTAATTAATGATGATTGCATTCAATACATAAGATCATTTTAGAATATTATCAATAACGTCAACTGTGCACACAACCTGAACAATTTTAAAGAACGTAAATTAATATTATCCGATTATGATCTAAAATATGATGTAGAATGTGAAATGGTATAGTTATACATTGAAAATAAATTTTAACACTAAATTCACTTTGCTTTAGAAAAATATGGTAAAAACTTCTAAGTAATTATTATTTAACAATTTAACATCAATTTATTTATTTATTTATTAGTTAACTCGGTTTTTTTTTTTTTGAAATTTATAATTTGAAATATTTGAATTATTTGTTCTATGCAGTTGCTAGCAATCGATGACCGAAATGGTATGACGATAAGTACCTACCTATTTACTATTTAGTATTAAGTTGGTAGATAGTAACTTACAGAAAGTTGGAACAGATGCGCTATCAAAACTAGCGGATTAAATTAGTACTAAAATGTCCTCTGTAAGTGCCAAGCGGACTAGCCGGACACAAGACACAATGATAAGCTGAGAGTCTCGACTCTCGAGTCTCGACCTTATCTTCTTAGGCCGTGGTTTATCGTCAAGACGTCAATCCCTCAATCCTCTTGTTGTTGTTAGTCTTGGTCGTCTTGGATTCCCAGTCTGGCAGTCTCAACGTTAGTGAGTTTTAGAAATATCAAATTATATGTTTCAATTAATTAATAATTTGGTATAATGATAAATTATCTACTACCGAGTTCACTGAAAGCTTTTAATTATTAATTACCTACTAACTTGTATGTTAGTCGCTAAAAAACAATAATCATTTAGGCTTCACCGATAATTGTTTGACGAAATATGATATGCAAGATGCCGGTGGCTGAAGAAACGTTGTCGATATCTGATGTAATTGTACAACTCCAAGACTATAGCCCAACTGTAAGAAATTAACAGTACCTAAATAATAACCTTGGATATATTATTTCCATTTTTAACATCACTGTTATAAGTATTAATTTCATCTATATTTACAGATACCCGATTCTATAACTTCGTCTATATGTTCAGAAGCTGGATTTGAGACAGATGACCCTCGAATGTAAGTTAATAAGTGCTCAAGGCATTTGTACAAAACATTTAAACCTTTAACGCCTACCTTGTTTTTATACCTTTGTTGGTTATCATTTGTCAAATCAACAGATTGAATAGGTCTTTCAATTTTATGTGTATTACATTCACTTTAGCGATCGACAATACATTTTTATGATCACCAATTCATAAAATAGCTAGTTAGTAATTTGTGGAATTATCATAAGAAAAAGGTTGTCAATAATTTTGGTGAAATATTAAATGGTTGCGGCTTCAAGTAGATTAAAAATTACTGGTCTAAACAATGAAATTAATGCATGTAGCCTTTCCAGTGATCAATTTGATGTCAAATTTTACAAACAATGCCCGAGTTATGTAGAAATGATCGTTTATTATTAATAAGCAAAATTTATAATAGCGTATGTGTGTTCATGAGGCTGAGTGCTATGAAGGTGCTCAGATTTTAGCGGTTATGGTACATCGGATTATGCTGTGATCTAGGCCTCCTTATAGTGCTGGACTGGAAGGGTTTTGGCCTACTATTCTTTATTAGCAACTAGCCCACTTACCTAAATTTAACGGCACAACTTAAAATAAAAAATATTACATTTTATTCAATAGTATTTTTACCTTCATCCAAATTTTATAAGGATTCAGGAACTTTTCTATGTTGATTACAAAAAAAATTTAAAATATATCAATACATAGGTATGAGTAGCAGTAGACCTCCTCTGCTGTCTGTTTTAACAAGAAAAAAAAAGTAGCAGTATGACAAATCAAATCTTTTAATCATACATATATTGATATATAGAGTGTCTCGGTGAATATACCCATTGCGATATCTCCCAAAATAATGGAGATATTAAAATCTGATTTTGTAATAAACTTACTTCATTGTTTAATGTGATGGTAAAAAAGCTTAAAAATATGTTTTTTTATTTAATTATTTACTGAAAATATGGACATTTTAAAATTTCATTTTCACTTATTTCCTGATTTTTAATATTTTTTTTCTAATTTCGAGAAAAATTGCATATTATTATTTATATATGATTATTCTTGATGATTGCTAGGCACACTGAAAGTGTTTGCCGACCGTACAAGTACACTTGTAGTGGTCACATGTTTGATAACACTGCAGTGTTAAATAATTCGCAATTTTTCTTGAAACTAAAAAAAAGTATAAAAAATCAGGAAATTAATGAAAATAAAATAAAATGTTGAAACATCAATATTTTCAGAAAAATAAACTCTATAAAATCGGTATTTTCATTTTTTTTTTTTTTTTGGAAATCATTAAATAAAAAAAATGTTTTAATTAAATAATTGTAGTACATATCTCTGCGATCTATACATTTTTTTTTTTCATAATCATAGTCTGCGGGCCACTGTGCTGTAGAATAGTAGCAAAGTGGCCCAGTCAAGCCCTGCTTCTCTATATATGATGGTGGTTTTTTTTATCTGGCGGCTTGCGTACTTGCAGGGTGGTGTTGTTACGATAGAAAATTGCGAATTTAAAAGGTCCACTGGTTCAGGATTTCTAATACATGCACCTGGCTACACAACCTAATCTCTATAGTTTTGTTTTAAACATGGTATATATTTTATAAATTTTGAAAGGTCAGAAACTTAATTATATTGTTATACATTATTATACACTATTGTTCTTATACAACTTGACATTTAAAATAGCACAACATTATAATTATAGTCAGTGCTGTAGTTCTAAGAAAAGCAGAGGGTATACTATGAGTTATAATATTAAACATTTATACTATCATTAGGTATCAGTGGTATCACTTTGGTAGAGAATAAATAACACAACACACATACATTAATTGTACAAATTAAAGTTAAAACTATACATTTTTTTCTAAAAAAATTTATTGAAAAATATTCTACAGTACATAATTTCCGTCAATCGCCGAATATACATATTTAATTATATACAAATATATAAATTATGTTTTATACAAATTGTCTATCTTAAGTGATTCTTAACATTCTTAGTTTTTCTATCAAAAATATTAATAATAATTAATAATCTAATGACTTTTATCTTTATATTATTTGGTAATTTCACTGCATCAGAAAGTATATGACCTTAATCAGAAGGTATACGGAGTTTATTAGAATTAATCAGAAATTATACCGCCGTATACCCTCCACTAAAGCACTGATTATAGTGTACTCTCTAGTTTTATATATCCTCAACAATTTTAACTTATACTGATATTCTTAAAATTGTATGACGCATATTTTAATAAAAAAGATTCATCTTAAATTAGCCAATGAATGCAATATTACTGAGAATCATTTTGAAAATTTTAATGAGGTGTCAGGTCTTTTTTGCCCAATTCTTTAGAAGTTATTGTATATTTCTGTTTACTTGCTTATTTAGATACACATATACATATTATATAATAATATACTTTAATAGAGACATTGTAAAATTAAAGACCATCCCCAAAGCCCAATCTCCTTCCCTACCTTGTTGAAACATTCTAATTTAATTTTTTATTAGTTACATTAATGCTATGGGTCATTAATTTATTTTTAAAATATTTTGTAGAATCAAGTTTCTATGTATTCATTTTAATTTTTCATATTTAATTATTAACTAATGTGCATTTATTTATTTTATTTCAGAGTTCGATTGATATCAATTGCTTCTCAGAAATTCATTGCCGATATAGCCAACGATGCATTGCAACATTGTAAAGTGCGTTTGGCTACCTTGCCAACTAAATCTGGAAAAGTTCCTAAAGACCGTAAATTCACATTAACTATGGAAGATTTAGCACCAGCACTCAATGATTATGGAATTATTGTTCGAAAGCCTCCATATTTTGTTTAATTTTTCTGTTTATTTGTACTTAATTATGATATTCTATTAATTACTATTTTAAATTATTAATTAAAAATTTGTATTCCAATCTCTATGCTGTAATTAAAAGTCTCTCCTTTATTCTACACATGTTTTATTATGTACTAATAATTTTAAATAAAATTAACTTCTAGATATTTTATAATAAAAAAAATAAATACATCAAAAGTATTAATATCATTTTGACATACTGTAGTAAAGGTGAAAAGTATAAATAAATAAAACTGTATAATAAAAACATATTTTATACGTTTTATGTTATTTCATTCCCAGATTATTTTTAGTTTGTACTTTATAACTGAATAAAATATGTGCTTGTAAACCTGTACAAAGGAAAATGTTGCATGATTATATAATAATAGACAGAGATTTATAAATTATAGTTTTCTCTTGTAATTGCTTATTTCATAAATAACTTATTATTTAAGCTATACAAGAATCTCTTAAGTTATTAAAAAAGTTAAACAGAAATAAGCAACATATTTTTGAGCGCATAAAGTTAATATTTGACAAAACATGTCAAAATTTGTAAATTATTTTGAGTTATAAATGTTTTATTTATATCTTAGATTTGAAAATTTAATAGTGTTACCTCTGGGTATCTTCCCTAATCTCATTACTCATATTATTCTTACTTGTCACCTATCAAACCTACATATTATACTAAGAAAATTTATAGATTGTAGATTACTACAAATAAATTTTTAAAAAAAATATTTGAAAATTGAATACAAGATTCTTAAATTTTTTTCTAAATTTAACAAAATAAAGTTTAATGGTAAGTTCAAATAAATGTTTTATGAGCGTTTAAGTTAGTCATTGAATATTCACCTGTAAATTAACAAGATCTCAGAACGATTTTCTCATTTTCTTGTAATTCGTAACTAACCTAACTTATAACCGTAAGTTCTAGGTTGTATTTAAAATTTATTCCAAATTTTTATTTCATTTTTTCTATACATTTTAAATATAGCACTTTTCACCAAATTTTTATATTACACATTACACACTTTGGGAAACACTTACTTTAAATTATTTATACCTTACAAAATAATAAATTTGTCATATTTAAATTATTTATCCGTTTTATAAAGCCATTTAGCATTACCCAGAGGCCAGAGAGTACCACGAGGAGGCGACTTCTATTACTCTCCAAAAATGTATTGTGTTTTTTTACAATTTTTGTACATTAATATAATTTTTATATAATATAAGAGTAGGTTTTTATAAAAACTATAAATCGTCAAAATTTTGTTAATATAGTATTAATAATAGAATAGTTAAATGACATTATTTATGTCTAACATATATCTACAAGGGCCGCTCAATATCTTAATCTTATCTTTATAATATTCGGAAACTATAAGTATATTATTTTTACAATAATGTTCAGCCGTCTACAGTGACGTATTTAACCTTTTTGAGGCCCTGGGCCATCATATTATAATGTGGCCCCTTCGATGAATGACCAACCCGTGTCGATTGTATTATTATTATGGGCGGTACTGGTTTGCGCACAAATACCAAAAAGACAACTTGTTTGGGCACAAAACTACCACTCTTTTGGGAACAGTTGAACCGTAATCAAGCACATGGTTTGGGAACAGTTAAAGCGTAATCAAGCACATGGTTTGGGCACAGTTACCTTTTATTATGATCCAGACTTAGGACTGTCTATGAATATAGACATAGGTATGGTTAAAAATGCATGTTAATACTTGCTTTTTAATAATAATTGTTAATAAATTTATAATACCTATGTTAAAAATGCATATAATATAATATTTGTTTGTGTAAATTTTAATTTTAATTTTAATATAATATGATTGGTAAACGTGTTTTTTATTTTCCGTAAAAACAGTTTTCCATTATTTTTATGTATTTCATTTGGTCTATTTCGCCAGATCTATATCTTGTCCATAAGTTTATGCGATGTTCGACTGATTCTATTGACTCCTTACTCCTTATTTTCGTGTGCGCAAACCAGTTGYACATTTAATATAACTGTGTGCGCAAACGAGTTCCGATTTTTCAGGTAAAAATTGTAGAATGTGCGCAAACAAGTTGYAGCCATTATTATGACTATATTAGCGATTATCCTTTGATTTTTCTCGAAATAAGWTTATTTATCAGTAATAAATATCGATTATTAGTTGGTGATCGTGGGGCCCCGGGCATGTGCCCAAAGTGCCCAATGGGAAAGAGATGCCTGGCCGTCTAGATAATATCGTTCTCAGTGTCATCTGCTCTTATTATTTTACAAAGATAAGAAGATAATAATTGTATACTAGCCTTGTAAATACATGTGAAGTTTCGTTCACTTACTAATCGAAGTGTTCCAGTGCGTTTTTCGACAGTTATTTTTTATTAAACATTGTTAACGATTTTATTAAAGCTGTAGAAGATATTCATATACGACCGAAAAAAGTAGTATTAAAGGAAATTGCTCATAATGACCATTGAGCATCAACATTTACTGTAAATGAYATTAATAGGCTGAGAAAAAACATTTCTAATAAGCTCATCGTAAAAGTGTTATCCCACTTAATCCGACTGGCGACTAATATTAATGAAGTGCATACCCTTATTGGCACTTGGCACAGAGAAAATAATTACTACTAATACTACTAGAGGAGAGTCGTTTTCATAAGTCAACGATAAAAATAATAACAATAATAATTGGATGCCGATTTAATTTAACTCAATCGTGGAGGAGAAATATTCAAAAGTGTAGTTTAGTTTTTTTCTACAAACACGAATCTTCAGAAATTGATAAGTGGATACGGTATATGTTTGGTTTAGTATTTTTAAATCCAGATGAAGTATCAAATTATTGTTTTGTTGWAGACCTACTAATCTACTATCCGACCGCCCAGTAAATAACAAATTAACAAATTACAGGGACTATTTAACCGATACTTACATCTCTGAAGGTAGTTTATTTCCACAGAGTTTTTGGGCATTTAATACGTCGGAATTAATGAGAACAACTTTTTTTTTTTTTTTCTGTAGTATCGAGAACCGGAGCGGGTACCGCGTTAGCATTGCTTCCACTAATTAATGAGAACAACTAATGCGTGTGAATCTTTTCATTCTCTTTTTAACAAAAGTTTTAATCATATTTCTTTACTAATAAGTGCCTGGTTAAGTGTWATTAATGAAATTCAAACTGAAGTATTTGAAGTCCCGAAGATAAAAAAATTGTATAGATTGACACTGAAAAAATGAAGTAAAATTCACAAAAATAAGAACAATTAACCGGTATGATTTTATTAAATCAATGTCARTTAACTATTCTATTTAATATTATATTATCAAAATGTTGACGATTTATACTTTTGATAAAAAACTTACTCTTATATCATATAAAAATTATATTAATGTACAAAAACACAATACATTTTTGGAGAGTAATAGCTAGAAGCCGCCTCCTCGTGGTACTCTTATACTATGGGTAATGCTAAATGGCTTTATAAAACGAATAAATAATTTAAATATAATAAATTTATTATTATGTAAGATGTAAGGTATAAATAATTTAAAGTAAGTGTTTCCCAAAGTGTGTATTATAAAAATTTGGTCGAAAAGTGCTATATAATATTCTTGGGCGAAAAGCGAAGGGTCATTTTTGGGCGAACGGGGTCTTGTCCGTCCCTAATCAGTACCTGTTTCCCCACTTTTTATATGTAAATTATAGTGCGGTTGCATTAACCTGAGATTTATCTTAAAAATAATGAATATAATATATCCCTTACCTCCAATAAAAATCCCTGTTTTTACAATTGAGCTATTGCTGACTGCTGTACACAACTCACGTCTCATATTGTACAAAAACGTACGGACTTTAAAATTATTAAGAAAGAATGGATACGGAAGAATTGAATTTAGTTTTATGAAAGGAAAATATTTGCAGTGTTGGGCAACGTGTACGGCACGAGTCGCAGTCATTCAAGGAGTTTATAAAAATAATATAAATATAAAATGTACCTTAAAGTTTATGTTTTGTAAGGACCGTGGTATTCATTTCAGTGTCTGGTTGTGCAGGGGATACGCTCAGCACTTTTGGGAATTTCCACTTTACCATCACCCTATGGACGTAAAAAGTTGGCTTTCAAATTTTTTCAACAGTTATCAAAAACTAAACTTACGTTGCAAGCGTGACAAAATACTATTAGAGGATGGCATTGAATAAGAAACAGTACTGCAAAAAGGTCAGATGCTAATACTCTACCTATGTGGCTATGTGTATAAGTGTATTGATCGTTGGAACTGTGCCTGCTAGAATATAGTAACTATACTAACTTAGACGTATAAACATTATATAAAGATAAAGTCATCAGTGTTTGTTCGAAAAACTGTTTTGATATAGAATTTAAAAAAAAAATGGTGAACACGAATCATGGCGCTAAACAGTAGAATTACAAATAACTTTTCTTTTAATAATAAAAATAATATTTATCTTTATTTACGAAAATAAATTTCCAATAAACTGTTTTTATATAAGTTATATARCACAAGCATTACAACTTAATACTTATAAGCTATGATAAATAATAATTTACAAAAATTCAAATAAATCAAAAACAAGCAGGGGCAAAAATGCACTTTACTAATCCTCTCATGTTTTTCAATTTTTATTTTCAAACGGYTTGATTTTTTTATACTTACACTGAWGGTGCTAAAAACTTTTACTGGAAACTATTATTTTAGAAATTATAGCCTTCCAAAGTTTGCAATTTTACGATTATATGCATGCACGGCGCGCGCAACACTGGTCGGCTTAAAAAACATCATATTATAATTATATGATAAAAAAAAATCATAGATATGCGTTGCGCGTGGCAATATAAAGTAGTGTTTAGCTTTTGCGTATAAACGTAAAATCACAAATTTTAAAAGGCTGTAACTTTTGAAATAATAGTTTCCGGTAAAAATTTTTTGGTAAAATGCATTTTAGCCAAACCTAGTAAGTGGATGTCGCTCTGCTGTACCAACAGTAAGTTACAAGCAGTGGCGGGTCACTATAATGGATAATATTACATTTGAATTCAATGATATAATATCATTGCATATAAAAAATGATTTTGAGCTAAAAAGGTTTATCAATCTAGGATATTTTAATCAAATAATTTGTTTATTT